TATATATTATATTTGAACATGTGAAGATATTGATGACTGTCCATATGTAGTATCCGACCACAACCCCATAGTTCTGAGGATAAAGACCACACCCCCATAGTTCTGAGGATAAAGACCACACCCCATAGTTCTGAGGATAAAGACAACACCCCCATAGTTCTGAGGATAAAGACCACACCCCCATAGTTCTGAGGATAAAGACCACACCCCATAGTTCTGAGGATAAAGACCACGCCCCCATAGTTCTGAGGATAAAGACCACATCCCCATAGTTCTGAGGATAAAGACCACACCCCCATAGTTCAGAGGATAAAGACCACATCCCCATAGTTCAGAGGATAAAGAACACATCCCCATAGTTATGAGGATAAAGACCACACCCCCATAGTTCAGAGGATAAAGACCACATCCCCATAGTTCTGAGGATAAAGACCACATCCCCATAGTTCTGAGGATAAAGACCACACCCCATAGTTCTGAGGATAAAGACCACGCCCCCATAGTTCTGAGGATAAAGACCACATCCCCATAGTTCTGAGGATAAAGACCACACCCCCATAGTTCAGAGGATAAAGACCACATCCCCATAGTTCAGAGGATAAAGACCACATCCCCATAGTTCAGAGGATAAAGACCACATCCCCATAGTTCTGAGGATAAAGACCACACCCCCATAGTTCAGAGGATAAAGACCACATCCCCATAGTTCTGAGGATAAAGACCACACCCCCATAGTTCAGAGGATAAAGACCACATCCCCATAGTTCTGAGGATAAAGACCACACCCCAATAGTTCTGAGGATAAAGACCACATCCCCATAGTTCTGAGGATAAAGACCACACCCCATAGTTCTGAGGATAAAGACCACATCCCCATAGTTCTGAGGATAAAGACCACACCCCCATACTTCTGAGGATAAAGACCACACCCCCATAGTTCTGAGGATAAAGACCACACCCCCATAGTTCTGATGATAAAGACCACACCCCCATAGTTCTGAGGATAAAGACCACACCCCCATAGTTCTGAGGATAAAGTGTGTTACTGAAGTCATCGTCAGATAAAGTCAAACTGTGCTGAACAGGGTTAAAGCCAATAGTACTGCCTTGTTATTATACAGGATGAAATTAGATCCTTTGTGTAATAATACGACAGAATCATATGTAACCTCTGTGGGTATGAAAATGTATAATTCACAGCTAGTAAACCTTAAGCATAAAATGGCGAATACATCATAAAATAGTGAATCATTTAACCGATATAGGATATACCTGTGTCCATACTGGCAGCCTAATAATAAATATCATTATGGAGAAAGAAAGGTGAGAAAAACGTGGACAAATAAACCAAGACAGCGAAGTAAAGAGAGTAACATGTATGTTGCATACAAGGATAAAACGGGAGAATTTCAAAAGAGACAACCAGAATCCGAGAGAAAGTGGAGAGAGGAGAAATATGCAGAAGTAAGAGTGGCTTCCGAAATGGAAATCAGTCAAACTCCACTGTCGATGCTACAATAAGTAATTTTGGCCTCTGGACAATAGAAGGCAAAACAGATCAATTTAAATTAGTGTTCTTGGAAAGATTATGTAGCGCAAATAATACGTATATACATAAATCTATAATTAGTTATATTGTTGGAGCTTCACTTATCAATTCTAACTTGAGATCCAATTCAATAATATTTGATCTTTTACAGAACAGATTGTTCGCAGTAGTTATTTCCCGCCAATGAAAACTTGGAAATCTTGTATAAATGAAGCTATCTTTCAGTGTGAAGAAGAGATGCAGAGAGAAAGCACGACAAAAAGGCATGAAAATGAACGGTTCTATCCGACACATAATAGTCTATAGGGACATCTTACACTTATGTCTGATAATGTTGGATACAGACATCAGTTAGCTGTAATGATAAAAATTGCAACTATTAACTATTAAACTGTTAAATCAGAAAAAAATGTTCAAAGTAACTGCAGCAGATATCGTAAAACATATTTCATAAACTGCGGTAGTTTGTTAGAATAGCGAAATACGATACAATGATTGTAGAGACATTACCTGTCCATGGATCTGTGTATTTGTTCAATCAAGAATACTCTGATATATTTGTGGTTTTGTTTGGTGGTAAACAATCTAAGATACAAGTAAAATGAAGAGCCAGGCATGGCTGAATATAATACTTACTATATCTAAATTAATCATGCCTGTTTATATGATATAAAAAATATATTGAAAGAGAATAAGTACGTCCACCGTAATTAATTGTATGTGGTTTGGTGAGATTGTGTAGAGAAATAGTTTGGGTTGGTGAGTTGGTATGTAAGTAGATGTTATAAGATATATTGATATGTGTATGTAAATGTTTTCCGAAGAAAAAGAATCCACATTTGAGAAGGAAATAAAGATTCATTCATTCACATTACAATAAGGCTTTTCTTTGAAAAAAAATATGAATTCTTTACTAAATTAAATTTAAACACAAAACATAAATTTAAGGATAAACTGAATTCAGACACTACAATAGAATCATTGATACATTAAAACAGATAAAACTCTCCATTTTATGAAGCTGGCATTTACAGATATCAATTTCTCAGATGGTGAAAAACACACCCAGATAACACCACAGCTTCTAGTACTTCTTAACAAACAAAGAACTTTCACTCCGAAAATTATAGCCAATAAAATAACAGGTCAAATGAAAGGTCATGCCCAGGTCAAGTTAATTAGGGACATTACATACACATATGTAACATATGCGCGAGAAATGGACAGTACATGCACAACTGGACAAAGACAGACAGGTCACATGACCATACATACAATGCACATGCAAAATCCATATAACTTACGGGTAGTGAGGTAGTGTGGGTGGACACTGTACTAGGCTGTAGATATATATGTCTGTATTTGTACATACAAAAATCCTGCTCTGTATTACAATGTATAAGATATACATAAACATATATATATACTTCATATTATATAAAAACTTACTTAAATAGCATATTATAAATTCATAAACTTAAGATAAATTATAAATAGATTTTATTTGTAATGAATGTTATCTATCAAATAGTACCTTGGGCCTGTGGACTTCTGGGTACTGGGTTCTTGACCACCTTGACTTCTGAGTACTGGGTTCTTGACCACCTTGACTTCTGGGTACTGGGTTCTTGACCACATTGACTTCTGGGTACTGGGTTCTTGACCACCTTGACTTCTGGGTACTGGGTTTTTGACCACCTTGACTTCTGGGTACTGGGTTCTTGACCACCTTGACTTCTGGGTACTGGGTTCTTGACCACCTTGACTTCTGGGTACTGGGTTCTTGACCACCTTGACTTCTGGGTACTGGGTTCTTGACCCCCTTGACTTCTGGGTACTGGGTTTTTGACCACCTTGACTTCTGGGTACTGGGTTCTTGACCACATTGACTTTTGGGTACTGGGTTCTTGACCACCTTGACTTCTGGGTACTGGGTTCTTGACCTCCTTGACTTCTGGGTACTGGATTTTTGACCACCTTGACTTCTGGGTACTGGGTTTTTGACCACCTTGACTTCTGGGTACTGGGTTCTTGACCACATTGACTTCTGGGTACTGGGTTCTTGACCACCTTGACTTCTGGGTACTGGGTTCTTGACCACCTTGACTTCTGGGTACTGGGTTCTTGACCACCTTGACTTCTGGGTACTGGGTTCTTGACCACCTTGACTTCTGGGTACTGGGTTCTTGACCACCTTGACTTCTGGGTACTGGGTTCTTGACCACCTTGACTTCTGGGTACTGGGTTCTTGACCACCTTGACTTCTGGGTACTGGGTTCTTGACCACCTTGACTTCTGGGTACTGGGTTTTTGACCACCTTGACTTCTGGGTACTGGGTTCTTGACCACATTGACTTCTGGGTACTGGGTTCTTGACCACCTTGACTTCTGGGTACTGGGTTCTTGACCACATTGACTTCTGGGTACTGGGTTCTTGACCACATTGACTTCTGGGTACTGGGTTTTTGACCACCTTGACTTCTGGGTATTGGGTTCTTGACCACATTGACTTCTGGGTACTGGGTTTTTGACCACCTTGACTTCTGGGTACTGGGTTTTTGACCACCTTGACTTCTGGGTATTGGGTTCTTGACCACATTGACTTCTGGGTACTGGGTTTTTGACCACATTGACTTCTGGGAACTAGGTTCTTGACCATCCTAAAAAGATTGACATGAGATGACAAATGGATTAAGTTTACCAATCATCTGTGGCTAACTCGGATTGGACCGAATACATGACAACAGCGTTTAATACCAGACATGGGTTTATTATCGGATATGCGTTTTAAACATGCTTTTGTTACAGTTTTCATAGGTTCCACGCATGCACAATCAGTGGTCTAGCAATACTGTATTCTTGTATCCTTTAGGCATATACTCAGATACTATTGAGATATTTGTCCGGGGTTTCGCATACATTCATAAAAACATTTGCAACGGCGTACACTTTACGATGTATTTCGAGGAAAACCACTGAACCTTGCAGAATACCTGTAGGACATAAACACACATGACGTTTTGTGAAACATTGACATTTCCTGAAGGAGGCAACTGGGAGGAACGTGAATGGCTGTGTCAGACCAGGGTGGTCGATTCCTTTCACAAATGTGTACAATTTCATACCTTTCGGTTACTACAGTAAACAAACTGACAGACGAAACCGTTTATTTGTAAGATGTGTACAGAATTAGAACGGCGCCTCCAACATATAATCTGTGTTGTAAAATATCCCTGTCTGCTCCCCACAACATTTCCTGGTGTAATTCTGACAAACGTGGCCTTCATGTTTCAGTGCTTATTTATTAGCTGTTCAGAGGAAATACATGTTTAGAATTGTATGACACATCGATGACCACTGTTTGTTTCCTTCACATCAAGAATCCGGAATCGAAATATTAGCAAAAAGGGGATTAAGAGTGAGGTCTTGGTATTCCTCAGTGAACAGAAAGATGTTCTCACGACTCTGTGTGTTTCTCATAGTGGGAGGTTTGTTCACATTTACACAGGTATGCTTACTTTAAAGACATCTTCATCAAAATTAATTATTGAGCTTTCTCACTCGCAATTACCATGAAATGATCATGATAATGCACTGATATATGTGGCAGTTTACCCCGTCGGTTCTATCTGACGTCGTGTTGTATCAATTTGTTACAGGCTCAGTTTCCGTGGGACACTTGTCCTGATAACACAGGTGGCAGTTTTCCCAGTCAGTTCTATCTGATGTCGTGTTGTATTTTTTTTACAGGCCCAGTTTCCGTGGGATACTTGTCCGGACAATAGTGGGATAGTTACAGCCTGTGTAGTGACGAGTCAAAACTGTTTTTCAGATTACAACTGTCCCTGGGGTAGGTATGATGGCCAACATTTCCATACTCCAGTGTGCTAACAAAGCTCGTTTTATCTTATTTTCTAGCAAAACCAATTATAACTTCGGTTTAATAAGTTGTTTTTGGCACATGCGCAGTCCATAATCTGACGCAATATTTGTGTGCGGGAAACACGAAATATCTACATATATTTATGTAACTGATTTTACATCTTTATTTACTTTTCGGTACACACCAATCGTTCAAAGTCGAACGCTAATACATATGTACTGTCTGGGACACTTGGACCATCCATAGTTACTGTTCTGGGGACAATTACTCTCCTTAGTCACATGCTTCATCTTCTGTTCCTAACACACAAGCCGTCCAAAGTCTAACACTTTTCCCGATGGGACTCGAACAAGCGATCTCTTTAGTATCAAAGTGGACATCCTATATAATTACAATGGTTCTTCTTCAACTAAAATGACGAAACTCCAGAGTTTGTGTTAGAGCGAACAAAATAAACAAATGGTACACGGGCTACACGAGGACATATCTGGGAAAGCAACCAAAACGTTTTCACAAGGAGAAATATTGAATGAGGGTGGGGTGCAACACAAAACGATCCTTACAAGGGATAATTTTGGGAGGAAATCAACGTATACTAGTAAGGTTAAAGGGAGGAAAACAACGAATTGCATTTTACAAGCAGATAGCAACGCTTTACGTTTCAGCCACACTGTCATACCGCGCCGTCCGTCCGTCAAATTTCCACTCAAAATCGCTGCTAATCAAGATCAGCAATTCATGGATTTTGACCAAATTTGGTCAGATACAAATATCAAAAATTCCTTAAAACCATTCTTCTGTTGTCCTGTTTTTGTCTGAAACATTAGAACGTTAAGAAAAATATTTTTTATCAATGGTGAGTCGGGGCCCACTGGGAGAAACATGGCAAACACGATAAAATATTTCTTCTTCTGTACCAATGCCAGGATTCTATCCCATTGGTGTAAACAATGGGTCTCAGTCCTCTGGGGCAGGGTCCATTAGGGGAAACAAATCTTTCTTCTGCAGCGATACCAATATTCTGTCCTTATTTGATCTGACGTAACCTTGGGTGACGAGGAATTAACAACCGTGTCTCGGTACCTTGTGATAGAGCGGGTAGTAGACAGAGGACATGTTGAGAGAAAATGAATTCAATTCTGTTTCCTTTTGCGGAATGTATTCATTCTGTTCTGTTTATTACAGGTATGAAGTGTTGTTCTTATGGCTGTGGAAGAACATGTCAACGTCCTGGTATGTGCACTCATAAACAAACACTTTCTGACAAAATTGAATACAAATTAATATAAAACAGTGACGAAGAATTTCTTGATATATAAGTATGTGTAAATATTTGGTCCATTAGATAAAAACATGTTAATAAGTGGTCCATTAGATACAGACATGTCAATAAGTGGTCCATTAGATACAGACATGTCAATAAGCAGTCCATTAGATACAGACATGTCAATAAGCAGTCCATTAGATACAGACATGTCAATTAGTGGTCCATTAGATACAGATATGTCAGTAAGCGGTCCATTAGATACAGATATGTCAATAAGCAGTCCATTAGATACATACATGTCAATAAGTGGTTCATTAGATACAGACATGTCAATAAGCAGTCCATTAGATACAGACATGTCAATAAGTGGTCCATTAGATATAGACATGTCAGTAAGTGATCCATTAGATACAGACATGTCAATAAGTGGTCCATTAGATACAGACATGTCAATAAGTGGTCCATTACATACAGACATGTCAGTAAGTGGTCCATTAGATACAGACATGTCAATAAGTGGTCCATTAGATACAGACATGTCAATAAGTGGTCCATTAGATACAGACATGTCAATAAGTGGTCCATTACATACAGACATGTCAGTAAGTGGTCCATTAGATACAGACATGTCAGTAAGTGGTCCATTAGATACAGACACGTCAGTAAGTGGTCCATTACATACAGACATGTCAGTAAGCGGTCCATTACATACAGACATGTCAGTAAGTGGTCCATTACATACAGACATGTCAGTAAGCGGTCCATTACATACAGTGATTTAGGTTTGTATAAATTATATTATATGTGTTGTAGTTCGATGCCGGGTGTCTCCGTTCGGATCCAAACGTCTTTGTTTTCACAATGGAATGTGTGACAGATCGCGTGAAGAATACTGCTGTAACTTCCGGTGTCAGGAACCTTTCGCAACTATTGGCTGATGACTGAAATAGTTACACAATAAATAACGTACAAAAAGAGGGTCGATTGTTGGTAATATATCAAAACACTACAAACGGTCACGGTACTTCACAGAATATTGACTAATATTATCTATAACACTGATAACTTGAGACTGACAGTAGCTGTAATCTGTAACACTGATAACTTGAGACTGACAGTAGCTGTAACACTGATAACTTAAGACTGACAGTAGCTGTAATCTGTTATTCTGATAAACTTGAGACTGACAACACTGTAGCTGTAATCTATAACACTGATAACTTGATTACTGACAGTAGCTGTACTGACAGTAGCTGTAATCTGTAACACTGATAACTTGAGACTGACAGTAGCTGTAACACTGATAACTTAAGACTGACAGTAGCTGTAATCTGTAACACTGATCAATTGAGGCTAAAAGTAGCTGTAACACTGATAACTTCACACTGACAGTAGCTGTAATCTGTAACACTGATAACTTGAGACTGACAGTAGCTGTAACACTGATAACTTAAGACTGACAGTAGCTGTAATCTGTTATTCTGATAACTTGAGACTGACAGTAGCTGTAATCTATAACACTGATAACTTGAGACTGACAGTAGCTGTAATCTGTAACACTGATAACTTGAGACTGACAGTAGCTGTAACACTGATAACTTAAGACTGACAGTAGCTGTAATCTGTAACACTGATCAATTGAGGCTAAAAGTAGCTGTAACACTGATAACTTCAGACTGACAGTAGCTGTAATCTGTAACACTGATAACTTGAGACTGACAGTAGCTGTAATCTGTAACACTGATAACTTGTGACTGACAGTAGCTGTAATCTATAACACTGATCAATTGAGGCTAAAGGTAGCTGTAACACTGATAACTTGAGACTGACAGTAGTTGTAACACTGATAACTTGAGACTGACAGTAGCTGTAATCTGTAACACCGATAACTTGAGACTGACAGTACCTGTAACACTGATAACTTGAGACTGACAGTAGCTGTAATCTGTTATACTGATAACTTGAGGCTGACGGTAGCTGTAACACTGATAACTTGAGACTGACAGTAGCTGTAATCTGTTACACTGATAACTTGAGACTGACAGTAGCTGTAATCTGTTACACTGATAACTTGAGACTGACAGTAGCTGTAATCTGTAACACTGATAACTTGAGACTGACAGTAGGTGTAACACTGATAACTTGTGACTGACAGTAGCTGTAACACTGATAACTTGAGACTGACAGTAGCTGTAATCTGTTACACTGATAACTTGAGACTGACAGTAGCTGTAATCTGTAACACTGATAACTTGAGACTGACAGTAGGTGTAACACTGATAACTTGAGACTGACAGTAGCTGTAATCTGTTACACTGATAACTTGAGACTGACAGTAGGTGTAACACTGATAACTTGAGACTGACAGTAGCTGTAATCTGTTGCACTGATAACTTGAGACTGACAGTAGCTGTAATCTGTTACACTGATAACTTGAGACTGACAGTAGCTGTAATCTGTAACACTGATAACTTGAGAATGACAGTAGGTGTAACACTGATAACTTGAGACTGACAGTAGCTGTAATCTGTTACACTGATAACTTGAGACTGACAGTAGCTGTAATCTGTAACACCGATAACTTGAGACTGATAGTAGCTGTAATCTGTAACACTGATAACTCGAGACTGACAGTAGCTGTAATCTGTAACACTGATAACTTGAGACTGACAGTAGCTGTAACACTGATAACTTGAGACTGACAGTAGCTGTAATCTGTAACACTGATAACTTGAGACTGACAGTAGGTGTAATCTGTAACACTGATAACTTGAGACTGACAGTAGCTGTAATCTGTAACACTGATAACTTGAGACTGACAGTAGCTGTAATCTGTAACACTAATAACTTGAGACTGAAAGTAGCTGTAATCTGTAACACTAATAACTTGAGACTGACAGTAGCTGTAATCTGTTACACTGATAACGTGAGACTGACAGTAGCTGTAATCTGTTACACTAATAACTTGAGACTGACAGTAGCTGTAATCTGTTACACTGATAACTTGAGACTGACAGTAGCTGTAATCTGTTACACTGATAACTTGAGACTGACAGTAGCTGTAATCTGTTACACTGATAACTTGAGACTGACAGTAGCTGTAATCTGTTACACTGATAACTTGAGACTGACAGTAGCTGTAATCTGTTACACTGATAACGTGAGACTGACAGTAGCTGTAACACTGATAACTCGCGACTGACAGTAGCTGTAATCTGTAACACTAATAACTTGAGACTGACAGTAGCTGTAATCTGTTACACTAATAACTTGAGACTGACAGTAGCTGTAATCTGTTACACTGATAACTTGAGACTGACAGTAGCTGTAATCTGTTACACTGATAACTTGAGACTGACAGTAGCTGTAATCTGTTACACTGATAACTTGAGACTGACAGTAGCTGTAATCTGTTACACTGATAACTTGAGACTGACAGTAGCTGTAATCTGTTACACTGATAACGTGAGACTGACAGTAGCTGTAACACTGATAACTCGCGACTGACAGTAGCTGTAATTTGTAACACTAATAACTTGAGACTGACAGTAGCTGTAATCTGTTACACTAATAACTTGAGACTGACAGTAGCTGTAATCTGTTACACTAATAACTTGAGACTGACAGTAGCTGTAATCTGTTACACTGATAACTTGGGACTGACCGTAGCTGTAACACTGATAACTTGAGACTGACAGTAGCTGTAATCTGTTACACTGATAACCTGAGACTGACAGTAGCTGTAATCTGTTACACTAATAACTTGAGACTGACAGTAGCTGTAATCTGTTACACTGATAACTTGGGACTGACCGTAGCTGTAACACTGATAACTTGAGACTGACAGTAGCTGTAATCTGTTACACTGATAACTTGAGACTGACAGTAGCTGTAATCTGTTACACTGATAACTTGGGACTGACAGTAGCTGTAATCTGTAACACTGATAACTTGAGACTGACAGTAGCTGTAACACTGATAACTTGAGACTGACATTAGCTGTAACACTGATAACTTGACACTGACAGTAGCTGTAATCTGTTACACTGATAACTTGAGACTGACAGTAGGTGTAATCTGTAACACTAATAACTTGAGACTGAAAGTAGCTGTAATCTGTAACACTAATAACTTGAGACTGAAAGTAGCTGTAATCTGTAACACTAATAACTTGAGACTGACAGTAGCTGTAATTTGTTACACTGATAACGTGAGACTGACAGTAGCTGTAACACTGATAACTCGCGACTGACAGTAGCTGTAATCTGTAACACTAATAACTTGAGACTGACAGTAGCTGTAATCTGTTACACTAATAACTTGAGACTGACAGTAGCTGTAATCTGTTACACTGATAACTTGAGACTGACAGTAGCTGTAATCTGTTACACTGATAACTTGAGACTGACAGTAGCTGTAATCTGTTACACTGATAACTTGAGACTGACAGTAGCTGTAATCTGTTACACTGATAACTTGAGACTGACAGTAGCTGTAATCTGTTACACTGATAACGTGAGACTGACAGTAGCTGTAACACTGATAACTCGCGACTGACAGTAGCTGTAATCTGTAACACTAATAACTTGAGACTGACAGTAGCTGTAATCTGTTACACTAATAACTTGAGACTGACAGTAGCTGTAATCTGTTACACTGATTACTTGAGACTGACAGTAGCTGTAATCTATAACACTAATAACTTGAGACTGACAGTAGCTGTAATCTGTTACACTGATAACTTGAGACTGACAGTAGCTGTAATCTGTTACACTGATAACCTGAGACTGACAGTAGCTGTAATCTGTTACACTAATAACTTGAGACTGACAGTAGCTGTAATCTGTTACACTGATAACTTGGGACTGACAGTAGCTGTAACACTGATAACTTGAGACTGACAGTAGCTGTAATCTGTTACACTGATAACTTGGGACTGACAGTAGCTGTAATCTCTAACACTGATAACTTGAGACTGACATTAGCTGTAACACTGATAACTTGACACTGACAGTAGCTGTAATCTGTTACACTGATAACTTGAGACTGACAGTAGGTGTAATCTGTAACACTGATAACTTGAGACTGACAGTAGCTGTAATCTGTAACACTGATAACTTGAGACTGACAGTAGCTGTAACACTGATAACTCGAGACTGACAGTAGCTGTAATCTGTTATTCTGATAACTTGAGACTGACAGTAGCTGTAACACTGATAACTTGAGACTGACAGTAGCTGTAATTTGTTATTCTGATAACTTGAGACTGACAGTAGGTGTAATCTGTAACACTGATAACTAGAGGCTGACAGTAGCTGTGATGTGAAAACAACTCCTTCGAAGTGCTTGCATATTTGCAAAAAACCGTTTAAACAGGATTTTTATGTAGTATTCTGTGGTAAACGCCATTGGATAATGAAGTATGGCTTCTTTGACTATGTTACTATAGTACTATGGCTACTTTTGATTTACTGTAAAAGTTTGTAAAAAATATTAACTTCATTTTTGTGACAGTAACTTCTTGTCCAAAATGCATACAATCGCAACTCAGAAACCCTATAACAAATCACCGTTCAACCATTGTGTACGACCAGATTATGACTCCTGCAGACGGACTGATACCCGTATATACTGTCTATATAACACCCAATCAATAATTAACACACATCATGTTTGTTCTATTATCTAGAGACAAAACTAACTTAGTATATGTTATACTTATATTCTTACATGAGGGTGTTCGAATATATCTCCAGAGTACACATATATTTCATCACACTGTCAGTATCTAAATTCTTTAAATATTTTTCAGGATACTCCTATAAGTTTACTATGGAGGTTACTCAACCGTGACATTTCATTCCATACCTATTATGCACGCGCTGTGCCTCAGGTAACTCGGAACTTGTCAGGGTAGTGAGGGCCAGCGTAGGTACCA